GCACTTAAGATTAGAAAAGGTAAAAATGTACTAACTTTAGTTAAATAGTTTTGTAATGCTCACTTTTCTTTGACCACAATGAGGGAAACCACTTTATCAGTTTCTGTTTAAGAAGTTTAACATGAAGGCCCATGACCAGCTGCTGACAATCCACCTGTGCACAGGCATGCACAGCAGCCTAACACTGCTTAGAGAAGTCTGCAAACTAAATGTATTAGAAAAGGGAATGTGTTAATACTGTTTTGAACTAGCTAAAAAGTAGGTTGAAGAGTTGTATTCAAATCCAGTTCTGCCAGCTCCATGCAACAGAATACAAATTAAAAAATGCAGGTTCATAACTGTACATAAATATCCATTGGTTGCAATCACCAAGAAATAATTTTTAAAGGCAGTTGAACAGGAATACAATGACATACTGAAGTATTAACAAATGTATGGAGTTTATCAAGGAAAATTACGTAAAAATGAGTCAAGTATCAGATTTGTACTACAGTGCTCTTGCAGACAATAATTTTCTAAAAACAGAAAACAGAGACTCTCCCACCACACCAGGGCAGGGGAAAAGTATTTATTTGTTCAACTGATAGATGTTTAACAGCTGATTCACATTAGCCCCTGCAACACAGTTTCATTTGGGACCTAAGTGAACACCACAAGTGAGGCATATTTTAAGCCTCCTTTCACAAACCCCACTGAGGCTGGAGCTCCTTGGAATACGGGTGACTGAACCAGACTCCCCCCTGGAGCTCAGCAGTTCTTCTCCTTAGCTGACCTAGACAACTGTTTTTTAACAATACATGATGCACTCCTTTCTCACCAAAGACTTGCTTTCCATGTTTAGCTTTTAATGTTTTTCATCAGCACCTCTGACTCAAAGCCTCAAGCGTCGGCGTCCTGCACGGTGGCACAGATGGAACTTAAGCCTTACTGGCCATCTCATCACTCCTTGACTCAGAGTCCAAATATAAGCAGGTTCCTGTTTAAAAAGGCAATAGCTCTCGTTATGTTGAGCTCCTAGGTTTGATTAAAGAGTGGCAGTAAAATGCTTTTGTGAATGAAGACTCTTTCCAGCTAACACCTGTGTGGGACCTCTCACAATCTTGCCAGTTGACGTGTTTGAAAAGCACGTTCTGCGTGTCATAACGGGCAAGTGAAAACCAAACCAAAACATAAACCACCCCACCTCCCCCTCCTTCCCCAGCAACCCGAGGCATGCTTATTCTTTGACTTGGAGAGCAGCTGAGCTGACATGTGGCTCACTTGCCAGTTTCTGAAACTGCAGTGCTGGGCAACTCTAGGATTTTGATATTCAAACTCTGTATTTGTACCGCCAACATTTAACCTCACATTCCAGGGTGGGGCTGGGCTCAGAGCCTGGGACATTCCAAAAAGCATTCCAGCCAGCAAGGCCCTGGAGGTAGACCCTCAGTGAGTGCATCCACATTAAAGGCTGGTAAAAATGTCTCTGCATTCCCATTCACATTTCTAGTAAGCAGAATACAGGGAGGACAAGTTACAGTTCTCCCCATACCCATGGACCACACTTTGGCAGGTATCATCACAAATACTCTCTGCAGCATCACTATCAAGTAAAAAAAATACAAATGCTCTTTTGTTGGCTGATGGTACCCCTGGGACAAAAAACCCCTCCAGTTGCTTCGCAGAGTTCCATAGGATTAATAGTGAAACATTTTCACTAAGCAAATACTTAAAATAGAACACAGCTTTCATCAGTATTGACCAAGTATCATATTCACACTACATTAAAATTTAAAAAAAAAAAAAAAAGTTTACAAAAAGTGAAGCTAAATATCCTCCAACCCAGCTGTGGTCTCAATTGCCACCCTATGCAAGAATGCTGAAGTGCAATGCTGGATTGGTAAATCCTGCAGAAGACAGCGTATTTTTGTAACAACAATAAAAAAACCTGCCACCTTCTGTTTCTGGAAAGTACAGCAGGGAAGAGAAGCACGGCAGCAACACACAGAATACCAATTGCTCCTTAAAAGCAATGTGAATGTAACGATTTCTAGGAGAAAATCACTGATCACTGAAGTAATTACTTCCCACCAGCGCTGAGAAAGGAATACACAAGATAAATACAGTTATCCTATCTGTAGAAGTGGTTAAGGGTGAATTGAATGATCAAAGTCCTCACACATTAGTTGTAACAGAGTTACAAGGAATGAAAGTATGTAACAGAAAGCCATTAAATCACAACATTCTGGACAGCACATTATATATATATATATATATATATATATATATACACACAAGCGTAACATTTCTTTGGATCTTTCTGAAACTGATCAAAGGTGTCAAATGTTACACTTTCTATCCATTTGCCAGAATTAAAGCCCTTCTATATTTAGCATTAAAAGCTCATTCCAACAGAGTGACTCCTCACTCTCATTTTCACAGGCTCCGTTTGGCCTGTCCATAGCTACAGCACAGACATTAATGTGTACAACCACTGCAGAGAGCTAAGAGGAGTAAGTGAAACATTGGCAACCATGTAATAATTTCAGGAAGGATTTGAAAACCTGCAGTTATTAGAAAACAGAAACATCCCCCACAACATTTAGCATCCATTTGATTTAATAAACACACCTGGCAGACTAGTGTTAACATAGAATTTCTTTCACTCATAGCAAACTATGCAGCCAGTTTTATCCAACTCTCTCCATCAAGCAAGCCAAGGCACATATTCTGTTTTATCAGTAGTAAAGCCCCTCTAGGCTGCTATTCATGCAGACTGTGTTAAGGTATCTATCTTCAACTACAGTGACCTGTGAATATTTGACAGCAGAAATCATGCAGAAATCTGCTCAGCTGATAAATGAACCCAAGATTTACACCTTTTCAAGCAGCACTGGAACATCAACCTCTCACCACTTACCTGTGCTCTGAATTGCCTGGAGTCAGTGGCTGGAAGGAAGCAATGAAAAGCCTGCACAGACTGTACCTCTCTAAGGAGGCAGGAGGATGCACATTCACATCACATGGCAAAAGACCAGAAATAAAACCCTCAAGGTACAAATAGTGTTATGAAGCCTTAGCTTCTAAATTGAATGATTCTATCTCACTTCTGTTAGAAGTTCAAATCAGGAGTGACACACTTTCTCCTGAGTAATTTTTTGGGTTTTTTTCTGGGTCAAAAGAGAAGTAACATGCATCTCATGACTGACTTATCTATAAACTCATCCCATTCCACCAGAACTTCCACTGATCCAAAGTAACTGCTGCTATATAAGTCCACCCTGAACTTAGGCACCACCACCTGTGTTACCCAAAGATTCACTTTTCCTTTTAGGCAGACAATGATTATAAGACTACTCCAGAGCCTTCTGTGCAGCAGGACAAGAGGCAGTGGGCACAAATCGAAACACAGGATATTCCATGTAGAAGAAGGAAAAAAAAAACACTTTTGCTTACCTTAAGGGTGCTCAGACCCTGGAATGAGTTGCAAAGAAAGGTTGTGGAGTGTCAATCTTTGAATACGTGCAAAAGCCAGTTAGACATGGTCCAGGGAAACCTGCCCTAGTTCACCCTGCTTTGAGCACAGGGTTTGGACCACACAATCTCCAGGGGTCCTTTCCACATTCAAACATTCCATGATTCTATTACATTAGATCCTGCAAATCACACTGGTAGCAGGACCTAAAAATTACTTTTTCTTTATTATTGTGGCTTCAAATAGTTCTGACAAAAGTAAGATAGAACTTATAAAAGGAAGAGTTACTTCTGAAACTTCTGATTAATACTGCAATTTTTTTTTAGTGCTTCAGATTAAAATTGTAGCACTAAAATGATATCAAATGTAAACATATTAAAGTGCATTTACTGCAATGTACAAATTGGACAATAAAAACTTCCTTCTTCCTAGACCGTGTAGATTTACTGTAAATTACTCAAATCTAATCAGCAGACATTTTAACTTCACAACCCTGAATATTATCTGATGAGATATTGTTCTTCCTTTTTGAAAGAATGGTTTAATGTAGCATTATCACTTGAGGAAAAGGATCAAATTTTTAAATAGAAAGATTCTTTATAAATTACAACAGCATGAATTATATCTTGTACATTCTTTATACAAAGTACTTTAGAGATCATGGCATGATACATCCCCATTACTTTGTTTTCAGACCTGAGCTGATAAGATCCCTCACACTGTTGAGGGAAACTAAGCCAGTGTTTCAATCAATTATTAATAACAGAAACCTCTGAATTCTTTTGGCACTCTTTTGAGGATTCAGAACTCTCATTTTATTCAGACAAGCTCACTGAGTTGCCATGAATTAGACAGGGTCTGTATCCTCTCCTGGTATACAGCATTTACTTACAGTTCACTTTAATAGGAAGTTGTGATGATGGAAAACAAAGAAGAGAACATGGGCCTTTGATCAAGACCCCTGTATCACCAACAGCTGATTATTGAGACAAACAAGGTCACATTTCAGGAACATAGAAGGCCATATCTGGATGGCCATTACTGCAAGTAATCTACTTGTAGACATTTATAAGGACTTTCAAGTTCAAAAGACAAAATCTCAAAGGATCTTAATTCAACAAAGTCAGTGCTACTAGGTTTGGCTCCACTGCCTTACTGGAAAGACACAATTGTTAACACCTATGACCAGGAAGGGACAATTAATTCTACTGCCATATTTCTGAAGGTAAAAAACCTAGAAGTTATCATAGAAGAATGTTATTTTAATGCTTTTCTTACAATTTTTAAATCCTTCTTTCTGTAAAAAAAACCTTTTCTTGATACATGAACAGTGTAAACTAAGCTTGCAAAACGTGCATAAAACTCAGTTGACACAACCATGTCTACTTTGCTATTAATTATTTTCCTACATTGATTTTTCTGATTAACTGAGCAGTTCCAATACACAGCTCCATTCCTTGGTGGATGATGTATTAATACATCTCTTACCAGTACACTGTAGACTTATTAAAAATTAAAAAAACAAGTAATGAAACCAATGACAAAATTGCTTTGAAAATACCTGATATTTTAAAAAAGTTTATTATTGGGATTACCTTCTCCATGTTTTTTAAAATCAAGTTCCTAATTATCATCTGAAAGGCACCATAGGGACAGTGAATGGTGAACAGTAAACATCTCAGTGGCATTTTGCACAACTGGGAAATTTATGTCTCTGAGAGAATCCAAATGAAATGTGAACAGCAAGATATACAAACAGGAGCTCATTTGTAGCTGCATAGACATGAAATCTCTAATTTCCATTAATTCCATGCTATCGTGGCATCTTCGGCACATTCATGTCAGAAGTTTCTTCAATAAAATTGGCTTTTTTATGGGAAGGCTCGGCAAGATCCTCTCCATGGTCTCTGCTAATCAAGCACTCCTGGTCCCCCCTCTTGCGTTTGTTCATCAGGTGATTTTCTCCCTCACAGAGTTTTCCCTCTGGGACACCCAGTGTTCTCAGACAGACAATAGCTGCAGCCTGTTCTGCCAGTTTCTTGGACTTGTCCCTGGAGAGCAAGCACACAGAGCACATGTAAAAGTAGAAACTGAGGTCTCTACACTGCCAAGAGACAATTTCCTGTCTCTGATGCAACATCATGAAACAAACAGCACTTGTAGTCATCTCACAGCAGAGGAACAAAACAGGTCAGTTCCAGAAATTATTTCAATCTTGCTAGGTGTCAAGCATTGATGCATCACTCCTGATGCAATATTCCTAGAAAATCTGTCTCTATCAGGTCTTGTCTCTTGGACACTCTCCATTTCAAAGGTACACAGCCAATGTGTGTTTGGCCCATACAGTCCTCAGGAAGGTAACTTTTACAAATCTGATCACTAAACAAAACTGAGTTATGAAGGATCACTTTTCTTGAAAGAAGCTCAGGCGTAAGTACATCTCTGGCAGACGTACAAGTTCATTGATGCTGACAAATGCAGGAACTGTTCCATAATAATAAAAATTCTGTCATTTCTGAGAAAGACTGCCCATCACACATTTGTGGAAGTCAGTATTTGAAAGCCTTTTCCAGTCAAAATTTCTTATCAGCTGAGCATAACTAAAGCCTCTGAACAGGAAGGCTGCAAAGCAGTTGTGTGCACTTGTCCTGTTTAAGATGTTCAATGCTGAGCTCTAGCTTTGCAGTTAAATCAAGATCACTTGAGGTGCAAATGTCTCAAATCAACTCCAGTATTAATAGATGATTGTATAAAATACCATCATGAAACTTTGGAGCAGTTCTGAATGTAGCTGCTAATTAACTGTAATCCCCAAGAACTCAGTGCACCGTCCTCTGTTTCACTGAATATAGACACTTAGTCCTGACTTCTTGTTGGGATGGATCTGCTGCAGTGGCTGAAGATATTCCAACCTCCTCCAACATTCCCCTCTGCCTCGCCTTGGCTTCTTTCTGAACTCATCACATACAGAATGGAACTGGGTCACCTATTTGCTCCCCTTCCAATACAACTTGTGGACTAACAAAAAGTTAATTAAAACCTGTTACTGTTTACTTGATTATGCCAGTGTTTACTTCCTCTTGTAACATTCAATTCTCAGAAGATTTTAATCCTTTCTCTCTCCTAGAGGTAGCTTTAGGAGGTAGCTTTTAGTTGACCTTTATCAAAGCCAACTGGAATAAATTGGAATATCCCTTAATGCAAGTTTTTAAGCAACATTTCAGAAACAAAAATCCAGCTGAAAAATCCATTAAGGATGGCTTACCACAGAGTTGATCGATATTTTTGCTCAGCTACTGTCACAACTGAACAGAATAATCTATCCAGTGGTCTTTGAACCTGTAGAAAAAAGAATTAAAAGGGAAGGGGCTGTCAAAAACCACTCATGTCATTCAGAGAAGAAACAACATCATCAACATTCCTTCATAGGTATAAAGACAAGAATAACGAGTAACATAACTTTAAAATTACTCTAATGCACACCACACATTTCACCACACATATTCAACATTAAAAAATTAAGAAATTGTCCAAGCTACAAATATTTTTGCTCTACAAAAAATAAAAAGTAATCAAATAATCTCCTCCCGTAACCAAACAGGTGCTCCTGTCCCATACAGTTCCTATCCGTAACAGTGTGCAACAACAGAGAAAACATTCCAACACTTAATTCTTTACTTCACAGAAGGAGTAAAAGATAGAGAAGTTACAGCAACTTCTTTCACAAATGAATCAAAAGCAGACTGAAGGTCTGATTTTGGATTTTTTATTTTCTAATACAATAAGCTACTGTTGTCATACCTGTGTGCATTACCATTTCTGCAGCTGCTTTCTGATAGAGCTACACCAGACTGGGAAGCAGAATTTCTCACTACCTTGAGTTCTAAAATTCTTAATTTCATATACAAGGCAGAGGAAGAGGTATGAAAGGATTTTTCATTGACTCACAGTTTCATAAACAGGCTGAGGATGCTTTTCTTTCCTACACCATTCCAGAAGATACATTTTTGGAGTGATTTGTGGTGGATATTCTCGCCTAGACAGAAAAATTTGTGGTCAACAACTGCGCACAAAGTTCCACTTTAAAAAGACAGTGCTGCTTATTGTGTTACTTCTACCAGTTATTTGAAGTTAATTTTACAGCTCAAATGATGAAAAAGATTCTTCTTCTTCATTAGATAACTCAAGCAATAGGTGTGGAAAGACATCTAAAATAAAATCTAAAGTTTTCCCAAGCATTTACATTCTGTAGTAATACAGCTAGAGAAGAGATACCAGAAAGGAGTTTCTAATTAAATATGTGACACAGAAGAGAGATACAGTTTGGTACTGCACCAATTAAACACTAAAAAAGGAGAAGCTGCTTCTGTTACAAAGCAGTAATCAAATGAAAAAAGGGTAGAAAATATAGGAATTTATTCAGTTATTGACAAAGAATTACAGACCCTCACATATGGCAGAAAAAGACCATTTAAAAAAATCTGTATTCAGTTCTTGAGGAGTCCTATATATCCCGTAAATATTAAAGCATTATGACTGCATTTGTGGAGGATTTTACATATCACAGTCTTCTTGAGCTGTTTGATAGGCCTATTAGCAAAACCAGCAAACACAAATGTAACATGGAAAGTAACAGCTATAGGCTTCAGAGATTATAATTAAAATTGTATAAACTAGAATTCAACTCCATGAATTTATTTTTCAAGGAATAGCTTATGAGTGGAACACATTTAGAAAACTTCAGATGAGCAAGTTCTTTGCTTAGAAGAGTATTAAGATGTTTGTTCAGGACTTCTTATAGAAAAATTATGTTTTTGTCAAGTTTCACTAAAAATAACTGAACTCTAGATCTTTGTAATACACTTTTCTACCTAGAGATGTTATTTTTAAAATTTTTTTAGAGCACTCAGCACTTGCAACAGTGAAGAAGTTAGGTGAAGAATTATGCAGTTTCAGGAAACCTGGAACTAAAGAATATCCTACAATATCCAAATGGCACAGGAAAAGTGGTGATTATGCAATGATGGTCACTTACTGTTTCATAAGAATTCATTCAGTAAGTGCTGTATTGCAAATCACCATTTTCAAAGAACTGTTAAGACACTGTGAACCTCACAATTATTATTCAGAGATGTAAGATAGTGAAAAACTTGATTTGCATGCTTACTTGTCAAATCTAACAGCCATTTTTATTACATCTGGATCTTCCATTTGGTCATCTTCATCTTGCGTCTTGGTTTCTAAAGATGTTTTTTTTGCTTCAAAAATAGCTGTGGTTTCCTCATAGAAGTCACTCATTTCAAAGGCTTCACTATTCAAACAGAATTCCTTTATATTAGATATCAGTTTATAAATTTTTGTATCACATTATGACAGAGAAAGAAAATGTAGACATCAATTGTGTTTACAGTATATGTTAAGAGTACAGAGAATGAAGTGGAAGCATGGCTATATTCTGCACATTGTTTCTCTTTCAATTCTTACCAGACATTGTTGAGCTACAAGGAGGAAAATGATGTTCTAATTTCCAGCACAACATATACAATTTGTAGCCTGGAAGTGAAGGCAGAATCTGCAATGTCCAAGTTATTATCTCATTTAATAACTTGCAGTTGGATGAATCAGCAAACAAACATCTCAGAGTGACTTCTGGTGCATCAGCTCCACAAGGGCAATATGAGCAAAACCCAGGAAAAAGAATCTTCTTCTAATTTTAGTGATTAAAAATAATATAAGCAATAAACACTACAGCATCCAAACCCCTCAAAATCTCTGATCTTCTGATTTCAGAGTATTATTCACAAGCCCAAATAAAGAGAAGAAGCAACCAGGATTTTAGTCAATGGCAAACGCCTCAAACCCTTTTAAATTTCAAATTCATGGCAGGCTGGATCTACTTTGAAAAACTGAGACTATTGATTTTCTGCAAATGATAACAACAATAAAACCTGCAGAATAAAAGAAATATTGCTTTCTGTTATGAGGATGCTGGCTGATATGGGGCTATTCAATGACAAAATGAATTCTTCCCACAAAGCCATCTCCAATGCTCCAAGCAAAAAAGAAAAGAAGCTGCACAATACTAACTTATGCTTCTAAGGGAAGCATATTACATACTGCTATGCAAACGTTTTGTGGGAAGAGCAGCAGGCTGCTCTCTTGCACTAAGCACTGAGGTTAAAGCTCAAATGGCTGTAACCCATCTTCACCACCAGGAGACAGCAAAATTATGCACTATTATTGTCTGAAGATAAACTGGTGCATTTAAAAAACCTAAATGTCCCTCAGTTATCTGGAGACACGAAACAGGTTGTTCAGAACAGGGGTTAAAAGACCAGGTTTGCTGGCAGAAAGCAGTTTCATACATTTTCAAACGGCTCTGTCCCCTCTCCTGCACACACATTGCTTTAGCCCATTTTGAAGTTGGTATTGCATCACATGTACAAAACCAGTTTGGTATTGTTAGGCATAGCACATAAACCCCACAGTTTTACACCAGATCTCTATCCAGTGTTTATGTGTATGAACTGCGACACCTCTAATTACCTGTGTAAAATTGTTACTTTACAGTATTTATTTTACATGCTATGCATTGCTATTCATGCAGCAGAAAACACCACCACCCTCTGGGCTAATACTTCATTGAAGCTGCAGAAGGTCTGAGTTCCAATCTACACTTTATCTTTTTTCCTAAACTCAAACTCTATAATCAAAATAGATAGTCTGTTAGCATAGTTAAACTTGTTAAGGTCTTTAAGTTGCCAAAGTGAAAAGTAACTTGCAAAGTTTAAATGTTGTTCATGAATTCCCCTGCTCCTTTAAGAATAATGAACTCTAGCTCCCTTTATATATGCAATACAAATTCCCTTCATTATACTGTAATGTAACAGTCATGGACAGAATTATTTTAGAATGCCAAAATTGGTAAAAGGCAATAAAATGGCAAAAGGATTGCAGGCATTTCCATTCATTTTGAACATGAACAGAATGCTGATTAGGGTTTGCTAGAAACCAATACATTCTTTTTCAAAATAATTCAAGCTTTCAACATTTCCATCCATTTTCATACACATCAGATATAAAACAATTTCAGACTGTTCATTTTATAAAAAACAAGGAGACTCCTCCCCTCCCTTCTATCAGAAGGATAATTATAACACACAATATGGATATGACACATGCAAGCTTGGAGCTTTATTTTGTTCAGTTTGAGATGTATCCAAACCTGAATTCCCCTAATCCTGTGTAAATTCTTTATTCATCTGCCTATTTTATGGTTTCTCTCAAAATTTTTGTTTTTTCATTTCTGTCTCTGCAATTGAGAAATATCATCCAGTCTGTTTCTGATGTGCAGGATGACAAGATTCTTTAAAGCTACTTACTATATTTCCTCAAAAAGATTGCCACAATTCATTTAGGATATTACAGGAATGAAAAGCAGCACATAAAATTACATTTAAGTACCATACAACCGGATAATCCTGATACAAGTTTCCGAGTTTCTAAGTGTTCATTTTAAAACAAATATGTTATAAATATTCCAGTAACATTAAAAACCTCATATGCAAGGGGGAAAGCTAAGTCAAATAAGCATCATTGGAAGAAGACAAGTTCCACAAAATTTCAGACAAGTTGAAATTTTTCTTAATCACTTCATGCAAATATTGGATAAATGCTTGTTACTCAGTGAAGCACCACTCAAATTAGTGTGCTGAATATAGAGAGTTTTAGGGATAAAGATTTAACATCTGAGCATGCAGGAAACCTGGAAAAGTTTACTCTGTTATTTCATACCTCCATCTGGATTTTTGGGGTTATTTTTGGGGTTTTTGCAACTTCTCCTGACAGTGTGAAATGCCAGGCAGTGTTAGACAGAGAAGTGGTGTGCAAGTTTGACAGAGTACAACTCCTTTTCTGAAGTCCATGCTTACCAGATCTCCTGTGTGGACTGTGCAGCGTGCAGCTTCTTACCCTGAGTAGTTTCCAACTGTTCTCTCAACATCTGACACAAGCAGTATTTAGTGTTGGTGTAGTGATTGTCATACCTCACTGCCTAATGGAAAGAGAGAGAATTACAAAACACACCAAACGAATTTATCTTCTATAGTGCACATGTTGCAGTACAGACATATGGTCTTGATGGCTTCCACAATCATTTTTGAAAGGCAAACCACAGTGCAGTTTCTTCAGTAACATCTTCAACACTACCCATGAACGTGACTATAATTGGATTATTTTGGCATGACTTCACCAACTAAAGTTCAACTGACTCATATACTTCTGAAGAAAGAGTTGACCTGTTTACATCATTGACTAGAAATGCACTGATATTTTAGTAAGCAACTCGTTAATAGCAAGCTTAAATTAGGAAAAAATAATTTGAATTGATGACATGATCAAAGTTACAGATTTCTGACTAATTTCCTATTACGTCATTAAAATTTTGTCCTTTGAATAATGGATAAAACTTTATATATTAGATGACTTAGCTACAGTACTACAATTATACAGCATTACTTTATTGGCATATCATTCCCTTTGCTTCTCTACTGTGAATACTTCTTGACAGGATTTGTGAAAAGTAACTAATTTCTAAAAGGGACTCTAGGAGCAACTGATTTTTTAATAGTCCTTCACCTTTCTGTTCAATGTTGTAAATTCAATATTGTATACGGTATAGAATAATCTGCTCAAATTGTACAACTGTGACTTCGAAAGAGTTTGACTACATATTTTTATATTTCTTTACATTTTTAGATAGCTTGGCAAACCTCATAACTGTTCCCAAGAAACTGGGCTAAAAAGCATGTTTTCTGAATAGAGATTTCTGAACCTTTTTGTTTCTGAACAAAATCAAACAGAGGAATCAGGGATTAATTCGCAAGGATCATGTAACATGCACTATGTTAAAATATCCCCAGAACCAAGTCTTTGAAATGAAGAGGAGTTAAGAACTGCAGTAGGATTTGGATTGACAATTCTAAACAATGTGAATTACAAGTAAGATCTTCATAAAAACATACATATTTGATGTAATCTTGCATGACATCCTTCAAGGGGCAAAACCCCTCTTTTCTGAAGACAGAGGGGTTCCACATGGCAGCACGAGCAATCATGACTGATGAGGCAGCTGTTGCTTTCTGGAAGGTCTCAATGTCTGCATATTCCTTAATGAAGTCATGAGATCCTCCACTAAAAATTAACAACACTAATATAATTAATCACAGTTCTTTTTCCTGCACTTGGAAATCTTAAGTACAGGCATCTGACCATAATGAGCTAATTAGTCCAACTTACTTTGCTATTACTGGAATGGAGACAGCTTCAGATATGGCCTTGATAACATCACAGTGGACAGGGTGCTGAGGCCTCTCCTCCTTCTTCCTTTCCAACAAACAAAAAAAAAAGGCCAGGCCCAAGGTTTTCTTGTGGATTTTTTGGTTTTTTAACCCCCGGCGGCCTTGTCTTAGGGTTTTTTGGGTTTTCTTTTTTTCGTTTTTTTTTTTTTTTTTTTTATTTTTTTTTAATTCCAAGTTTTGCAGGTTATTTTTGGTTTTTTTTGTTCTTTGGGAAAAAATATTTAGGAAAAGAGCAGCAAGCGGTTTAATTCCTTAATTACTGACTTGATTTCTTAGAACACCAATTCAGTTAACAGTTGAAATCAGAACTACATATTACATTTAGAGTATAGAGTATACTTGTATCAGTCATATCATACTGTGGTACAGTCATCAACAAACTAAAAAAATCTAAGTCTTTCTTGCCTAAAATCAATTTACCTTCCATGGACTGCAATGGCAGCAATGCCAGTTTTCTCTATTCTCTTCACCAGATTCACAGTATCCTCCACCTGAGGGATAAGACAGTCTGACATGATTTTAATTCAAAGCAAAAGGAATAACTATCATGTGACCATTGTATAAACAAATGCTGGAAGTCTTCTTTGATCAAGAGGGATGTGATTCCTGTCTTTCATCAATAACATAACATGTACAACCAATTAATATATACTTCAATTAAAGAACTACATGCTATGGCAAAAAAAAAAAAAAATCTCTTTTTTCTGTTTTTCTGTGTTTTTAGATTTTACACTTTTTCTCACCCGGTGTTGTATTATTCTGTAGCAGGAGAATATTTTCCAAAGGTTTTCAGATTGTCAATTGAAAATGACTGGAACATTTGATTAGCAAGTCCTCTCTAATGACTACTCTGTAAATTGTAATTAAAATGCTTTTCAGTAAGAGGATGCCTTCTGAAATCAACCTAACATGCAATCACACAACTATAAATATTCCCCTCAGAAGTGTCTTAAAGATATTAACCAGCATCTAAAAATTCTAAGGATATTCATACATGCCTAGTAAATCAAAAGGCCTAGTATATCTTCAAAAAGGTAAAATGCTCTTAAAAAGCAGAAATAAAATTGACACACTGCTGCACTAGCCTGTCTTATGCATCTTTAGGGAAAGGGAGAATGAAAAAAAGGCAAATTTTGCTTTCAAAAACTGGAGGAATATCTGTGGCTCATCCCAAACATACCAGATTCAGTCTGAAAACTGCAACATGTCCCAGCTGGCAGGGATGCAGAGACAGAAGCTCACCTGCTGCTCTGATGGATGACATTATGCAAAACCAGCTTGAAACAAAAAGTTCTCTAATTTAATACTTCAGAACCAAAATGATCTTAAGACTGGGTTACTGATTCTTTTCACACAAGCTACATTTGTTTATCCCAACACATAAATGATTTCTGAACAAAGCTGCTTCAGGTACAGTTCATCCATCTACTGAAATATTTGTTTATATGCAATCATAGTACCTAGGAAGTAATTAAATACTCAATTGCTAAATAATCAGTCTTTAAAGGAGAAGGCACATAATCTCTTGAAGGTTTAAAATATGTAGAGAAGTCATGTGAAAAAAAAAAAAAAAAAAACAAAAAAAAAAAAAAAAAAAAAAAAAAAAAAAGCCCTAAGGAATCTACATTAGCTGTAAAAATAATCTGTAAAAAGATCCTGAAAAAGACCCTGTAACTTCATTGGCTGTTCTAACTGCATGAACAGGAAAACAGTATGGAAGAAAAATTAGTCTGAAAGAACAGAAAACAATCATCTATTGGCTACCCCATGTGAAAAGCAGGAACTAACAGCACCTCCTGGCTGCTCAAGGGGAACTGTCCTACACCCTTTTGTACCCCTATGACATAAAAAACTGACTCCGTTGAGAAATTGAGAGGATAAAAGCCTCTGTGCCCTTTCCTATCAGAAACTGACAAGCCCACAGTCACAGTCTCAGTGCACCTGCAGGTCAGATTTAGGCTGGGACAGCATCCCAAACTGTAAGAAACTGTAAGTTCCAAGTGCTGTTTCACTAGAACATATATTCTGATAGTAAATCAGAACAATAACAGCTGAACACTTCAGCACAACAATTTATGTTCTTACTGAGGGCAAAATGCGGATTTTGCAGGTTACTGGTTTACAAATTCCTTTAACAAGGGTGGTCAATATCTGAAAAGAAAAAGACAAGACAAAATCTGATCACAACAGTGGCTTTACTAAAACTTTTGTTCTTTCTCTCTTGAAAATAAATTAGAATAATGTAACCTGTTTACTATTCCTCTATAAAGAATCTTACAGATTCTTAGACAGACATATACAATCTGTAACTGAATATACAATTTTATCCAATACATACACAAGCCTACTTCTAGTCTACGACACTTTTACTGCCACTTCTTTGTTGATTTGAAATGGATTTTTAGAGAGAAATTAACTGCTGCTGGAGTTTCAACACTGCTTTTAATATGGTGTGACCAGTGAACTCTGATTTCAAATTACATGCATAGACACATAAAACACACAAATACTGCACCACACTGAAAGTTTTTAAATTGAAAAAAAACCCAAAAGTAACAGTTTTATAGTCCAGATAATGGCAAGGAGAACCAAATCAGGACTATTTCTCTATAACCTTAACTTCACTGCCCTAAACTGAGTAGTCCACTCAACTGATCATGAATTTGTTGTCTATGCAACTCATTCCTGCTGCCAGTAGAGCACAGAGCACAATTCCTCCCAAGGCATCTCCAACCCCACCAGGTGATACTTACAGACTCTATTTTGTCAGGATCAGACAGCAGTGCTGCTCCCATACCTCCCTGGCAAAACACACAGAAGCTGTTACCCACATGGCAAACACATTTTTCAACTCAATTGTTTTGCCTAATAGCAGACCACAACAAAAGCACAATGTTGTATTCAGGAAAAAAATGTCAAAATTTAAAATACAGGAGCATTACTGAACACCTTGGTGCTACATTTCTTAGACTTGTATCATAGTAATTAAGCAGTAATTCAGGGCATCAACTTGCTCTCATCACTTTAGGGAGCAGACAGGATTTCAAAAAGCTATTTTTAGCAAACATAATCATAATTTTCCTGTTTTTCATCTATAACATAATTATGAGCAATTTAATATTTTAGCTGTTCTTCACACACTGTTTCATCTGCATACACAGATGCAGAGTCCAACAACTTTTTTGTACAAATATTTTTGACCCAGAACTATTGTTGGAGAATAACCATTGACCAGCAGTTGTACTCCTGATCTTTCACCGTAGTACAAGATGGATATTTTGGTGTTTTGTTCATAATTATGGTTCTGTGACGCATTTGAAATCAAAATGGAGTGTCATGGTTCAATTTATTGATCCTTTATGTCCACACCAAGTGGCTTAACAGTCCTAACAATGCTCTGTTGAATGCTCTGTTCTAATCCCATATACAGGACTAATATAGAACTTCATATGCTTTATTACAAAACAAACAAACAAAACAGGTTTTAAGTGATCTATTGTCCTCCCACTTAAAACTGGCAAATAACTGAATTCAACTTTACTAAGTTGTGACTGTTTTTTGCCATCTATTTGCTCAGATGACAAATTGGGATTTCAACTTTTATTAAGGCTAGACAGAATTTATTCCACTCAACCAACAAATTAATGACTTCAGAAGAATATTAAAAAGCTCTAAACACTTCATTTTATCTAGACTTTAAGAATTTAATTTTCTAACAGCCTATGTTATTTTACTGTATTAGGGCCATGACACCTTTTAGAGTGTTCTATTTACTACAAACAATTAAATTTAATTTTTCTCTTCAGCAAAATTTTACTGCTTGAATTTGAAAACCAGACCATGAATTCCACACTCCATACCTTCAAGACAGCAAAGGCTCATTTAAGGGTAATCAAAATCCACTTGCCTTAGTAGAATATTCTTTTGGGCATCCCATGTTGATATCAATACCAGCCACATCACTCTCTCTGAAAGAGATGGAAATTTTTTTTAGTATATTAGAAAAAGAAAGCAATATCTTTCCAAGTAATTTGTTCCATCATCACTGAGACTTAAATGAAAACTTAAAGTGAATTTAAACTTTTGAATTCTTAGCTTCTCCCTTATTTAAGTCAAATATACAAATTTTAATGATGGTCTGAAGATCAGATTGTTCAAAGGTTTCAATAACCAGTGCTGTGCAGAAGCTACAAATACTCATCTTAAATACCTTCTATATACTTAATCCTATATAAAGTATATCCACCACTAAATTCATCACTACAGTAAGTCTTATTGAAACTTCCATCTATTTAAATGGAGGCTTAAAACCATTTTTTTAAGAGACACTTTTTCTTTCTGCACAATGCATTACTGTAGGCTTTAAACCACAAACAGTAACGGACACTTTCAGATATATTGGTCTTGCAGCTGTGCAATATCCAGGAAAATTCATACTGGAGAGATCAAGGACACATTTGCACTAGCAAGAAGCCATCCCAGCACAGAATTTATGCAGCTGAACTTTTCCTGGTTCTATCAAGAGCTACCTTGATGCTCTCAAGCATAAAAAACTGTCTTCTACAATAATTACTCTGTACACAAAATCCCAGACAAACCCATGGTGGGAAGGGGGTGAGAAAAGATGACTTACACAAGCTTAGCTACTGCCAGGGCTCTTTCAGCATCTGCTGAACCCTGTTGGTAAAAGAAGAGGGTTTGTAAATACAAAATATCATCAAATTATCAAAAGCCAAGATGCTTACTTGCACACGTGTATAACTATATTTGTTCTGAACATTTAGCACAGAGACCCACTCAGAGGCACACTGGATACTTAAAACATTTACCTATAGCACATATTGGAGTCAGCCACTGGATGATAAAAGGTGATACAAAAAAGGATCCAAAGAGGTCGGTCTGCCCTCTTCACCTACAGCCATATGAAATGTTCTTAGCCCCTCAGCAACAGATATCTATTTTAATGTTCTTAAGAAGCTCAACATATAACAATTCTAGACTCTACAAGCAACTTATTTCAGGGCCACATTACCACTGAAAAAGGTCTTTTCAGTGTCTAATACAGTCCACTCATGCTTCCCCCTCCCTCCAAGCCCAACATCTCTTGTCCTACAGAGTAGTCTCTAAGAGCAAATTACTGTCTTTTTCTCTTCAGCAGAGAGAATCTTTAATTCATTTGTGCAATGCCAATGCACACATTATCTGTACTAAACAATGAAGCTTCTTTCAGACTTTCCAGTGAGACTGTTTACAGGACAGTGCAAAACTTCAGTGTGTGATCAGACATCAGCACAATTTATTTTCCATACTCATAAGTTCAGAAATATATGTAAGATACTTCTTACAAAACCAAGCTGCTGGAGAGCACAGTGATTATCTTGATCACCTTTTCTGAAAACAGCTCTAAGGAGAGCTTAAAATGTAGAATCTTGATTTGTACCAACAGCTCAGAAATTCTGCAGCACCTTTGGTGTGAAACCACTTCATTTAACTATGTTGTTAGAAGAGTATCTGGGGTCTTACCATTTGGAAGACAACACGTTCTCGCTCCCTTTCACAAGTTCTGAAAACAACTCTGTCATTAGGTGCAACAAAGTCCACTGTTTCAAGTACTTCTGTATGAAATGAGAAACAGACAGAAATTCTGTACAAATGTAAAAATTTTTTAAAAGTCATATGACCATGTCATAAATGAAATGCCATCAATGTCATTTGATGTTCTTTGAAAAGTATCAAAGCCCAGTGATGACTCAGCCAGAATGAATAATACTATTTTTCGGAAGGGGTAGGAAGGGAGAGGAGATTTGTAGTGAATTCCTGTTTCCCAGAGGGGACACTGCAAACAACTGTTTCTATGCCACTAAAGCAGGGCCAAGTCTCAAAGATACCTTTTTAAGAGCTTGCAGTGACAATCATGTTATTGCAAGTCCAGCCCATGGACTTCAAGTTAATAAATGAATGATAAATAGTGAGGTCTTGTATGTGTTGCTTCCTTATTGCAGTAGACTAAAAGGTGTTTATATTATCATGTCACAAACAGCTAACATTTAAAAAGACACATGATTGGAAACTGCAGTCCAAACAAACTGAAAGTTTGAAACTATAGAGTAGCAGACAAGTCTAAGGTAGCACTTCAGAAGCTTACTGGAAACCCCTAGACACAATTCAGTGAGATTGTATGTACTGATACATCCCTATAATCACCAGAAAAATTCTTCAGAGAAATAATTACTCTTAACTAGAAAAGAGACTTCTCACAGTCATTATCAAAATAAATGCCATACTTACCATTTATAACCCTTTTACACTGCAGCATCTTTATGTCAATCAGCTCCTGAGTAGAAAGAATAAAAAAATCTCAGCGAGTTGAATTGTTTCAACCAATCAGCTCCAAACAGTTGCCCATTTTATTAAGTAATTATTTGGAGAGACCAACTTCTCTGAGAAACCTGTCTCAGTACCTCAGCACACTTTGGTTAAAGAACTTCTTACTAGTATCTAATCTAAAGCTCGACTCTCTTCAGTTTAAAACAGTTCCCCCACATCCTATCACTATCTGTCCTTTCAAAATGTTCCTCTCCCTCTTTTTAAAAAGCCCCCTTTAAGTACAGGAAGGGCTCAGCAAAGTCTCCTTAGAAGATCCTTCTCTTCTCCAGAGAGAACAATCCCAGCTGTCTCAGGCTGTGTTTGTACGAGAGGTGCTCCAGCCCTCTGATCAACATCGTGGCCTCCATGGATGCACTCTTAACAGGTCCACATAGTTCTTGTGTTAAGGACCCCACACCTCAATTTCAGGCAGCTTAAAAAAAAGTGTTTAAGTAACAAGGAGAGCAATGCTATGAGTGAAATACATGGAGGCACAGCAGAACTAACCAGATGAGACATGAAGTGAGTCTTCAAAGTTCTGACTCTACTGAAACAAAATACAAAAAAGCCTCAACAACAACAAAACCTACCCCCACCAAAAGTACAACTTGAGGAAATTGTTATGGTGTTTTGTCTTAATTACTTAAAGTTACTGAACAGCCTCAAAATACGGATTTACCATAACTTGAGAATGGCTCAGAGAAACACCTCAAGACATAGAGATTCTTCTTTCCTCATTTTTAATGGAAAACTATGTGCAAAAAGAACAAGCCATACAATGAAATTGTCCATTTGTACTTTCCTTAATAATAACGTTATCAGATAAAACCGCCTCATCTGCTCCTTCTCCATACCTCACAGTACACGATATCGGCACCATAGTCCAGAGCAAGCAGACGCATTGGCAGTGTCCCCACCCGCACCATTGGAGCCAGGATTTTCTTTCCTCTAAAGCACAGCGGGGTGTTCACCGTCATTCCTGTCGCTGTATCACCTGAAAGAGAGCGCCCAGGGGGACTGCCACGGACTGTCATTTCCCACGCGAGTTCTGTGCTGGGAAACACAGGCGGCGGAGCCCGCCAGGTGTGACGAGCTCGCCGGGCAGCGGGCTCGCCCAGCGTGAGGGCGCCGGGGATGCTCCCCGCCGCAGCGGCTCCCTCGCGAGCGAGGGCCCCGCGCCGCCCCTGCCACAGCCCCTCGGGGCCGCGACTGCTCCCGCGGCGGCGGCGCGGGGAAGGCGCTCAGCCGGCAGCGGAAAAGGGCGAACGAAGGGAGCGGCCGCCGCCGCACTCACCCTCCCGGCGCGGCTCGCCGCGGCTCCGCGGGGCGGGGAGAACCGGGGCCGGCGCCGCTTTCAGCGTCATCGGGCAGCGCCGCCGCCCCGCGTGGGGGCCGCGATGGCGCTGGGCCGGGCCGGGCCGGTGCTCCCGCTGCTGCTGCCGCGGCGGCCGGCGGGCAGCGGGGCGGCGGCGGCGGCGGGGAGCCCGCAGCCCCCCGGGGCCGTGGTGCGCGTCCCCTGGGCCCTGCGGCAGCGCCTGCAGCGGGGCGCGCAGCGCCGGCGGCGCGAGCAGGGCGAGGCGGCGGCGCCGCGCTCCGGGAAGCTGCTGCTGCGGAGCCGGCGGCCGGAGCTGAGCCAGCCCCGCTGGCAGACGGTGGGGCGCTGGGAGCAGCCGCCGCTGGTGTCGGCGGGCTGGAAGCACCGGAAGGCGTACGGGGATTACTTCCAGCTGGAGCCCTCGCAGGAGGCGGCTCCCGCCTTGCAGGCGCCGCCGGCTGAGGCGGGACGGGGCCCGACCTTCGCCGAGCTGGGGCTGCAGCCGGCGCTGCTGGCCGGCCTGGAGCGGCTCTCCATCGGCCGGCCCACGGCCGTGCAGCGCCTCGCCATCCCCGCCCTGCGCCGCGGCCGCAGCGCGCTGTGCGCCGCCGAGACGGGCAGCGGGAAGACTCTGGCGTACCTGCTGCCGCTGCTGGAGCGCCTGCTCGGCCGCCCCGAAGCGCCGGCGGGGGCGGCGGGCCCGGCGGCGCCCCGCGGGCTGGTGGTGCTGCCGTCGCGGGAGCTGGCGGCGCAGGTGGGCGCGGTGGCGGCGGCGCTGTGCGCGCCCGCGGGGCTGGCGGTGCGCGGCCTGACGGGCGGCGGGGCCGCGGGCGGGCTGCGGAGGCAGCTGCGGGCGCCGCCGCCGGGCCCCGCCGTGCTGCTGGGCACCCCCGGCGCGCTGCGGGAGGCGCTGCGGCGGCGCTTCCTGGCCCTGGAGAGGCTGCGCTGGATGGTGCTGGACGAGGCGGACTCGCTGATGGACGAGTCCTTCACGGGGCTGCTGGAGGAGATCCTGGCACACGCGCCCCTGGCCGCCGGCGCTCCCGGGCCAGCCGGGCCCGACGAGGAGAGGACGCAGGTGGTGGTGGTCGGAGCCACCTTCCCCGCGGGGCTCAGCGAAACGCTGGCGAAGTTCACTGACGTGGGCCAGTTTGTCACCCTCAGCACCCAGAGCCTGCACCGCCTGCCGCCTCACGTCCAGCAGAAGTTTGTCCGCCTCAAAGGCCGGGACAAGCTGCCCGAACTGCTGCAGCTGCTCAAGGAGCGCCCATCGTCTGGCGGGGCCGTTCTCATCTTCTGCAACAGCGCCGGCACCGTCAACTGGCTGGGCTACATCCTGGACGACCACAAAATCAAGCACCTGAGGCTGCAGGGGCAGATGTCGGCAGCTGCTAGAGCTGGCATCTTTGCCTCTTTCCAGAAGGGTGATGTGTCTGTCCTTGTCTGCACTGACCTTGCCTCGCGGGGGCTGGACACCAGCAGTGTGCAGCTAGTGGTCAACTATGACTTCCCAGACACCCTGCAGGACTACCTGCACCGAGCCGGGAGAGTTGGCCGGGTTGGGAGCAAGGCACCTGGAGCTGTGGTTAGTTTTGTCACCCGTCGATGGGACGTGGACCTGGTACGGAAAATAGAGACTGCAGCCCGGAAAAGGACAGGTCTCCCAGGAATGGACTCTATTAATAAACCTTCACCTAAAGGAGGTTGATTCAGGTTGCCAGGCATTCCCTGGTAGGGGCTTGCCTTGAGGCCATTAAGGCAGAGTGAATGAGCTGCTGTGTGTAAGGCAGGTTGAAAGAATAGAGTTGAGTTTCAGAACCAGGTGATCAGGTTAACTTTGTGCACTGTTCTGGAAGCTGCAGTATTTGTCTGCACAGCCATCACAAGATGTGGTTTCCCAAAGGAAGCTAGTGAGTAACAGAATGCTTTTGGAGAATATCGAGAAATTACTTCATCAGTTGATTTGGTTTACTTATTTTGAGACATAATTTAAATTCAAATCTAAATGAGTATGTTTGTATGATACACGGTTCTATTTCATTACTGCCCACCACCATCAGCTAACATTAGTTATTAAAACTGAAAAATTGCTGCTGTGGCAGGAGAAAAAACCTGACTAGTTACAGCCACAAGGAACTAAAGGACAAAGGATACTTCATTTTCTTGTGGTGTAGCAGTTAATTCAGAGAACTCTAAACTGAGTACCTGTAAAGTACAGCGGGAATGAGAAGGCACAATAATGCTTGAGGCTCTTTCAAAGCCTTAATTTGTTATTTTATAGTTACCTTTCACTGGGAAATGGGATCTTGCTCCTTCATGTTATATTAAATAAAAAGTCTTAAGGTGTTTCCTGTACATTTTTTTCTGCATACTGTAGTGACTTGTAAAGTTTCTGAACTGTCTGTAAACAAACCAAAAAACCCTCACCCCCAGCACACTTAAAGATGTCTCCTGTTAAATGTGTTAACTTACAGGTTCTAGTGACTCTCATGTAACAAACTGAGTGTAGGATTTCTTTTGAATGGTGTGCCTTTGTCCTGTTGTGCTTCAAACCAAGAGAGTTGAAGTGAGGCTGAGGTTATTACATGTCTCGCTGCTAGTTTGTATCTGCAGTAACTAATCACACAAATAAGCATTTTAGCTTCACTTCTGTTGCCACAATCCTTTCTTTTAGTGGCTGTTTTTCCCATGCTCTCCATTTTAGGCTGTGCAATCATTGGAAATGTAGAAATAGTTGATTTCTACATTATGGTAAATGAGAAGATCACAGCATTTGATGTAAATCTAATTCACTGGAGCTATTCTCAGTATACTGAGAATAAAAGTTAAAGAGAAAACTTGCATAGATAGTCACCCGAGGATCAAGCAATGACTTTATCTTATTGTACATGTGCTCTGTTCATATTGCACAGGTAGGGGGCTCTTAAAGGAAGTTACAAACTGCAGTAAAATTATTCAAGACAATAGCTCCCAAGTTTTAGAAATATACTGAAAGAGACTGGAGACCCATTCATTGCAAGGACAGCAAATAATATGTAGTTTAACATCTGTAACTCACATTTTTACAGTCTATAAACAGGTTAGTCTGGATTGCAGCACACAGAAATACTGAATTAGACAACACAGTGAAATAATTACATTTAGCCATTTGCTTCCTACTTTTGAAGTAATATGCACGTTATATAATTACAGGTAATAACCTTGAACTTAGTACAAATGCCCTTACCTGTTGCTAGAGCACTGTTATCACAAGTTTGTAAAAAAAAAACCAAAAACAAACAAACCCTCATCACAAATTTCAGGCATTTATATACTAAAGTGGCCAATAAAAAACCTTTGGTAGGTTGACTCAAGACAACACTGTATTTACCAACAAAACCTTTTGTAGACTACTTTCAAACAAAATCACAATTTTTTTAAGCATACATTGAGAAATACCACATCATCTGCTGTATTGTTTCTGAGACAGTGAGATTGCTGGGACCAAGAGACAGGTCCTGGTGATTAACAGCAGAAATTACACACAGGAGCACACAGACACTCAGACTCTCTGATGTAGAGCCACCAAATACAGACAGCCACACCACTGACACATCATGTGAAAGGTGTACTTGCCCAATAGGTAAATGCTACATTAAAGCCTTCAAGGAGATTTAGAGACTCTACCCCCAGTATTGAACTAAATGTGTATGCAGCTCACACACGGTCAAATTTGTTGAAGAAACAAAGACATCCAAAGGCTTTAGTTTGACTTCTCCCAAACTGCTCTCTGAATGTCACATTGTTCACATCTCAATGACTGTCTACAGACATAATTAACTGCTGTCTTCTCTGTTCATATTCTACCTTCTGTGTGGTCATAACTACAACTTCATTTGGGCTCTGTCTTATGGGCATTCAGATAATTCTGTTGCACACAGCCCAGTGTCTAGCAAGGTACCTTAGGACAGGCTCTGTCCCATGTCATCACAGCGAGAGGGAAATGTGTCTCCTACCACTCCAGTAACCTGGCACAGTGCACACTTTTGCAGACTCCCTGGAATGCACTTGCATGTGTATTCTCCCCAGGCAGAATCCTCTTGACTCCTCTTCCTCCTGAAACGTAGTTGCGAGCCCAGCTTACACGTTTGTGGTGGAGTGTGTGGTAGAGAAGTTCTCCATGCGCACTCTGGCCAGTTTCTCAGCAGCCACCGGCCGCAGGAAGAGCTTGCGGGTGAAGACTTGGCGGCAGGCCTTGCGGAAATTCTCCGACAGGAAAGCGTAGAGGATGGGGTTGATGCAAGAGTTCCCGTAGGCCAAGCAGTGAGAGATGATGCGGAAGGTGAAGGAGATGTTGTTCAGGGGAAAGTGCCCAAACTCTGCCCACATGGTGATGATGTGGTGTGGCAGCCAGGAGAGCAGGAACATAGCAACCACGAGAAGCACTGTCTGCGCTGTCTGGAGAGGAGATTGTGTTAATACATGATAAAATAAAATAATGGTCACAGATAATACATGATAATATAAAATAATGGTCACAGAGCAAGGGAGTGTGTGGACTGAGTGAGTTTGCTTTCCTCTGTCAGTAGTGAAGGCAGCATAATACAGGCAACACTGACAACTGCCAGGTGGGCAAATTACGACAGTATGAAAAAGGATGCTAAAAGCCCTGGTAAAACTTGGATTGACTGGTTTTGACTCAAGCAAAGAACTATGGAAATTTGAGGTAGTGCCTGTAAAACTTCAAACAGTTCAAAGGCTGCAACAATGCTGTGTTACAAGGAAGAGTGGAAATAATATTTCCTAACATTTGGAGGGTGAGGAACATTGAGGCTATTGAAAAGAACTGCAGGGGAAAACATCTTGCAAGTAAGCACACCACTGAGAGGAATAACAAAGGCTGGCCTGAGGAGAAAGGTTTTCCCAGTATCTTCCCTATTACAGAAGAAACCCAGAAAACCAATTTTTGTTTGTTTTTTTTTTGTTTTTTTTTTTTAAATACACAGTTCTCATTGGTTAGACTTATTCCTAGCTGGGTGA